AGAGAGAGAGAGAGAGAGACAAAGACAGAGACAGAGAGGTAGGTGTGTATTTGAGCGTGTATATGTGAGTACGTGTGTTAATGTTCGTGCATCAATGATGTTATACAGGTGCGCTCACTGCATTAGGAATCCCTAGCAGGCAGTAATGTTTGGTGGAGCCTTTTAAGGTGAGGGATTCAGACTTTGTGAGTGTGTCCGCCTTGCCCGGGAAGTGGCTTTGTTTTGTTTTGTTATGTTTTTGTTTTTGTTTTTGGGATGTTCTTTTCATTACTATGGACATAGAGCCAAGATGCGTCTTATTGAAAGAAAAAGTTACTGGGAACGCCCGCATTGCACGAGAAGCTGCTTTGGAGTTCGGTTTTATTTGTTTGTTTCTTTGTTCGTTTTTTAATTTTCCATTTTTTTCCCGAACTTTTCATTTCAATAGACAAAGAGCTAAGATACTTCTTATTGGAAGAATACATTGACATGGGACGTCTGAACAGAGCTGCACTCTGCATTGCCTGAGAAATGGCTTTGGAGCTTTTGGGTTTTTTTTGTTGATATTTGAACCGATTTTTTAAAAAAATTATCGTTGTTTTTACTTTTCAGTACTATGGACACAGAGCTAAGATGCGTCTTATGGGGCGAGAAAGTGACCTGGAACGTCTGAACAGAGCTGCACTCCGTATTGCCCGAGAAGTGGCTTTGCATTTTGGGGGGTTTTTTGCTTGTTTTTCTTGTTTTGTTTTGATTTTGATTTTTCTGTTTCTTTATTGTTTTTTGTTTTCCATTTCAGTACTACGGACATAGAGCCAAGATGCGTCTTATAGGGCGGGAAAGTGACCTGGAACGCCTGAACAGATCGGCGCTCCGCATTGCCCGAGAAGTGGCCGACCAGACAGGCACGCTCATGGCGGGGAACATCTGCAACACCTGTGTCTACGACCCCAAGGACAAGAGCACTTTTGGACCTGTCAAGAAAATGTTTGAGGTAGGTGTGTGTGTGTGTGTGTGTGTGTGTGTGTGTGTGTGTGTTTGAGTGTGAGAGAAAGAGTGTGAGGGTGTGTGTGTGTGTGCGAGAGTGTGAGAGGGTGTGTATGTTTATCTGTGTGTGTAAGTGTGTATATGTGTATGTGAACGTGTGTATGTGTGTGTGGGGGGGGGGTGTTAACGAAAGAGATACAGGGCAGAGAGATAGATAGATAAGTAGGTATATGGGTAGACAGATAGATAAACAGAAAGGTAGGTAGATGAGTGGACACATTCATACATAGATACATACATAGATAGATACATAGATACATAGATACATACATAGATAGACTACGGACGGATGGACGTACGGACGGACGGGCAGACAGACAGATAGATATGTGAGAAAGGATGGTAGGAATGAGATATTGTATTTATATATATATTTATACTCAAAATGTACGTACCTTCTATTTGCAGGAGCAAATCCGATGGGCTGTTGGTGAAGGTGCTGACTATATTATCGCTGAGACGTTTAGCGACTTTGGAGAGGCAAAACTAGCCCTGGAAGCCATACAGGAGGTTGGGAAAGGTGAGTGGAAAGCCTCGTTAAAAGATTTTGGGAGTACAATTTTGACGCAAAACAACGAGCACGATAAGGCTTTGACACAATTCTATGTTCTTGGATATTAACCCTTTCTGAGCCATACCAACCTATACTGTCCTTCCCGTCATATTGCTATACCGGCTTTTCCTGGCCTGACAGTGACACACCAACCTTTGGTACGGGCTTAGAAATATGAGCACCCCACTCTAAATTAAAATACTGACGTCCTAAGTCTTTGCACGTGAAATTTCAATTGAAATACATCGTTTAGATAAAAGCAAAGGCAATTTTTTTTTGCTACTCCTCCCTAAAACGCTGAAAAACACTGAAATAATTCAGTTTTGGGAAGCTATCATCTGGCGCCATTTTGGTTCTGCCTTGCTGATCTGCTGATTTATTTATGGTGCTAAGAGGGTTAATGTTCTCATTTCTAGTCGAGGATATAGGCAGAAACAATAAGGTAAAACATTGATATAGCAGTGGTAGAAGTGAAAACACAACGCTATATTTTTTTCTGAAAAAAATTGGCTCTTTAACACCTAATACCACCTAAACGTAGAAAATAAGAAATTATCGGGGTTTTTTATCAGGTCTCCGGGCCATTGTCATGTTAGTCACAACGTCAGTGGAGGCGTAAAACATTTGAAGGGGTGATGTGAAAAACATACTAGATCTAGTCCGTTTTTGGAAAAAGAAACTTATAGCAGTAATAGTAGAATGTGCGCGTGAAATCAATCTAGGGAAAATCCAACAAAATGAATCACAAATTGTACTTTTATAAAAGCAGATCAAGTTAATTAAGAACAAACGATGTCATGCATAAAACGTGAAATATAAGCTAATTTGTCGTAGGATTAAAGTGGCTCAGTATATTGTTTTTCCTTTTTGTTCTACCACCAGACAGTCAAGCAGCGAGAGAATACAAGTCGGGATCAGATGGATACAGAAGAAGTGGCAGGCCCAGGAAAAATAGAAAGAGGGGATCAAAGAAACTTTACACAAGAACAATAATATAAAAATGAAACAGGTGATACAATATCATTATAAGAGAAAGACATTAATTGCCCTCAGCACCGTTAAGTAACTGAAGCCGAAAAAAATAGAATAAGCATGATTTTCGTGGGGGGG